CACAAGTGCACGTGAGATGACTCCATTCACTCCAGTGTTTGCAATACAGTGAGGCCGTGGAGCTGTAAGGACCTGCCCACTGGAAATGATGCGTGTCAAACTCGGGAGAGTACGAACATCAGTCAGGACCTGGCACTGGAGCGCCATCATGAGGCTCAAACGGACGTGAAAATCCAAGCCCGGACTGGAAGCAAGGAACATATGGCAGTGAGTAGACAACTCATCAAGGTGGTCTAAAAGGGCAAAAAACCAGTCCCTGGGGGACTGCATATGGCAGGGACTGCAGTATGCAGGAGGTTAGGCAGCCATACCGTCACTAGTAACTGACAAATTGCGCATATGAATGCTAGTGAGAGGTCCATGGATGTAACTAATGAGAAGTCGAGGTCCTCAGCATCACACTTCAGCATGGGAAATGAATAACAGCTGTGGCCTGGCTCAGCTTGGGGCAATTGCTTCCAGTGCCTCTCACGACAAAAGGCACACTCATGCGGTCAACTCTGGATCTGTGAACGGGATCTACTTGCGTCCCCTCGTCTGGCTCGTGAACGACCTCCAAACCACCAGACGCTGGCTGCTCAGGCCGTCCCCTGTCCTACTTCTCAGTTCAGGCTGTAAAGATCAGCACAAAACGTCACTGAAGGCAACATCGTGTATATCCCATAGATGGCAGTCGGGTGGTGTAAGATTGTCAAAGTCATCAAGGAAGAGCATGCTGAGCGAACGAACACTGGCCAAGTCCGTGCGATGCGACCAAATAAAAAAAAAATTCACATCATTAAACAAATCACCCACCAACGTGATAAATGGTGATGTGTCAGATAGCTGGTAGCCAGCGAACATGAAGCGAAGCATACATCGTCGTCAGTGGAAGAGGTATCGAGTGGTGTGGCGTCAAAAAAAAGTCTGCGTCGTCCAATGCCATAATCCACAAGTGGACGTGTGCAGAAGTGGCTGCGGAGAAAGCAGATGGGCTCGCGGGAGACATGACCGAAGCGTTACCCACGATGGGCCAGGTTAACGGAGGGATGGGCAGTCAGGTCGTCACTGTAACTACATACGCCGAAAAGTCGTAGCGGTCCAATGCGTCTCAATGCGCGGCGCTGCACTCCTTCTCGAACTGAAGCAGACCACAAAATGGCTGTTAGATCCTGGCTGATAAGATCCGAGGCGCGACTGTCGAGCTGAAGTTATGTAGACGTCTCTCACTCCTGCCTGTAGCCCGACATGCCGAATGTAATGGATATACACTTGGTGTGCCCAGTGCGAAAAAAAGCTGTCCAAGGGGTAAAAGCTGGGCCATGTGGGATGGTACCCAGGCCTAGTACGTCAACCGGAAGCAAGCTGAGGAGATAGTGCTTCGGTTGTATGTAACCAAGGTCTCGACGATATTCCTATGTGAGTGCGTGCGTCCATGGCTGGCCGTTGACTGTCATAGAAGCATCTTTAAAAGCTGTATGTTACAAAAGATATCTCAATGTATGCTAAACATGCGGGAACACAAGCCAAAAGAACTCTATGTGTCATATCAAGACCGCTAACATGGCCAAACGCACAATTGCTGTTCATACAGTGTGAAACCCCATTTTGTAACGGTCTGTGTTTCAGTGTGCTAACACAAATTGGTGAGGATATAAACGTGGTAGGTGCTGCACCACCCCAAATAATAAAAGCAATGAATGTTAACAGTACTGTAAATTTCGTCTGCCTAAATTCCAACCTTTCACCCCACTAAGAAAAGATAGATTTGCTTCTTTCCTGTCTCACGGCTAAAAAAGTAGGGGCTTTAGAGTGAGGCTCAACCAAAAAAATCAACAGTCGCAAAGGCGTCGTCATAGAGTGTAAGATAAAAAAAATTTTCCCAACCTATGGACTCTTTATGGACACAAAGGAATTATAGTCAATTAATAGGATTAAGTTAATAAAATATGACTATTAAGTACCCGAACCCTATTAAGAATAATTCTTGTATGAACTAATTGTACCCCTACCCTCTTAAATTTATTTAAGACGTTGAAACTGAACCAGCATAAGATAAGTAAAGCGGGTGTACACGGAACAATAAGGGCTGTAACGCCGATAAAAATAAACATTCAGAGATGAGCGATACTGAACTCTTAAAACTAGAACAGATTAAGGTTTTCGTCTGTAGCGTGGCTCAAGTATCTTATGTGATATGCATGAATACTGTACAGCTGTATATTAAAATGTGTGCCGTACACTATAATGGATCCGCAGCGTCCTTCGGTCAGCATGTCACCAAACGTTGTGAAGCTAAATTATTCTTAACGATTCCTATAATAAAATTTCAACGGATTTTTATTTATTTAAAATATAACAATTAGAACGAAAGTGCTTCGGTATTCTTCCTGATGATGAGATAAACAGCTTCAAACCCCACTTTATAGAATTGAAGATCAAGTTTGTAAATAAATAAAATACTAAGGACGCCTCAAGCTCCTTTGTTATAGCAATTACAACTCCCTTATGGTACGCCTTCGCCTTTTCAACTTAAGAATTGGAAGACAAGTTTTGGAATAAATAAAACTTAAGGAGCTAAGCTCCTTTTATAGCCAAACAACTCCCTATTCCCTTCCCTTTCTTTCGATGTGGGATTTGCAAGCCACCTAACCAATAAAAATTTCCTAATTCTCATATATATGGATAATTCTAAGATTAGGTAATACCAATTAATACTATTCATGGAAACAATATTAAGGAAAATGACATTAATCCAAATTCTTAAAATGAAATCCATACGACTTTTGCAATGGGATCCCATTCCTATATAGTAATTTCATGAGTTTAACTATCAAAATAGTAAATATATGTTAAGATAATTTGTACCTTCTAATTATTATATTAAAAATGTTAGCTAAATGAAATTATTTTGTTAATAGATGTGTTTAATTAACTACATAAAAACATTATCTCAGTATTTAAATGATAATTATAGTAAGCGATCTCAATTCCCATAAAAGAGATAATACAAAATTTAATCCCTGAAAAGTACACTTATAAGAGGGCCAAAAACTTTCTATAGAAAAAGCACACTGAAAAGCACACTTGGTATTTAAAATATATGCTTGACATGTATAATTAAAGTAACACTCAAGGTAAATGTAATCTACCTGTAGAAAAATAAATGATTGGAAAAATATATATATATTAGAGTGAATAATTAAGTAAAATGTGGAGAGACAGGACAGAAGAGGGCTAAAGGCACTAAACCTAAATGAGAAACAAAGGAAGAGATAATAAGGGGCTTTTGGTCAAAGTCCTACCAAAAGTCGTTTCTATTGTAAGTGGCTTAATAAGAATAGACGGCCCAATTAAACCATTGCATTGCCAATGCAACTTCTTCTATAGAAATTCAAGCCCATGTAAGTGTTGGGCTCTTTTTAATTATCAAGTCCAATATCCAAATGATGACTCAAGTTCAAAGGATCTTCATTTGAATACCCAGTTCTTGTGTATCACATGATCATTTTTTCTCTTAAAAAAAGAAAAAGAAAAAGAAAAAGAGTTATTGTTTATCAATGCTTAGATAAACAATGTATTTATATATGGATTCAAGATTTGAAAAGGTTATTCCCATATATAATTTCAATCAATAAGCCTCTAGCAAGGAAAAGATAATAAATATATAACATGTGGGTGAAATTAAATTAATTGAATTATTATTATTATTATTATTATTAGTGGTGGATAACATGCAGTTGATGTTAAAATAGTAGATGGTTTAGTTATGTCTAGTAAAGAATTTAAACAGAATAAATTATTTTATATATTAGGAATGATGTATTTTGTAGTGTTAACGAATGAGAGTGACTGTTAGCTTATAGATATTTTTATTGTTTTTGTTGTTGTTAGGGGCAATTTAATAAATGTTAGAAATTAGGTTTTTATATTAATAAAATGTCAAAAAAATATATAAAAATTAAGGGAATGTCAATATTGGTAAAAAATAAAACAATAATCTTTCAAACTATTATGTGATTCAATAAAGACGACGGTGACAATAATAAAAGGATAAAATAGTAAATAAATAATGATTATGTTGATTCATATAAAGACGCCCAGCAGACAGGAGGTGACAAATATATAAAAAGGAATAAAATAAGTAAATATAATAATGAAAAACTAACGCATTAATTTAAAGGATAACAATAGTAACATAAATAATGAAAATGCATTAATTGAATACTATTAATAAAATGTCAAAAAAATATATAAAAATTAAGGGAATGTCAATATTGGTAAAAAATAAAACAATAATCTTTCAAACTATTATGTGATTCAATAAAGACGACGGTGACAATAATAAAAGGATAAAATAGTAAATAAATAATGAAAATAACATTAATTTAAAAGGATAAAATAGTAAATAAATAATGAAAATGGCATTAATTTAATATTTAAGGTCAAACTAATATTTTTCTAAAATAAAATTTTAAAATATGACATTTATTATAATATCTCTTGTTGTTATCGATATGGGAGATGGCTTAAAGTTAGGGCTCAACACTTAAAGCCCAATCGCATGCTTTGCATTGGCCTTACACATTTTTCACTTTTCACCCATTTATACATTTTGGCATGCTTAGGGGAAAAAAAAAAAAAGGAATAAAAGCCCCTCATATTCCTTCACTTTCTCTGATTTGCTAACCTACCAAACACTCACCAGAATAATAGATTCATTTTTTCCTGCAAAAAACTTCAATTTTAAAGGATGATATCAATTATCAACCTCTTAAAGTCAAGATCAAAGCTTGAAACAAGCGAGAGGGAGCATAAGCCATATGGCTATTAGTGAATTTTCATTGGTTAATGAAAGGTATATTCTTTACTCTTTTTGTGTTAATTTATGATGAGATAATAATATGCAAATGCCTTGATCGATGTGATTGATCCTCAATAAATTAGGAAAAGAATTAAATACACAAACTATCTCTTTATGATAATAGTAAAAGCAACACATAAATTAAATGCACAGTAACTAGTGGAAAATATATGTATAATATCAATAATGGGAGACATAAACATTATACTCCACGATAGCATTTAGGGTTTTGAGATTTACGGTATGAGTTCTTGCTTGAGCATAGCCACGTGCGAATCGGAACACCCTACTCCCACCAACAATGGGCATTTCCCTAACCTCGGAAAAAATAGCATTATGTCCTAAAAGACTAAGTGTGCTCCCATTATATTTTCCTTCCAAGAATACAAAATTGAGAATCATCAAAAACCCTATTTCACTTTTAGATGCTGAAGCATACATCCCTTGTGCTCTTCCTACAAGCTTTGAATTGATATTGGGCTCCGTTGTCAAAGGATCATCCACCATGAACAACGTTCCAAAACCCGTTGAAGAGTTAATAGCTGGTCTAATGATAGGAACTGCAGTAGGGTTTTTACTTGTGATTGTGTCATGAAAGAAGAAGTGAAGGTGAGTCAATTTCTCTTTTTTAAAGCCTAGAGTCTTTGGAGATAAATTTCTCGAGAAACTATGAGATCTCGTGGTGGTAGGATTCAAAAGGATTACAAACATGGTGGAAAACAGAAAGTTTAGTGTTTTGGCCATGGTGAGGAATTTTAGAAGGTGAAAGAAGATATGGAAGGTCTAAATTGATGGCTACCCTTTTCAGAACTATGTATATATACTTATATATATGTATCACCAAATTTAAATTGTTTTATAATTTGTATTTTTTATTGAATTATTTAAATAAAGTATATGAAAACAAAAAGGGGGAAGTAAAATGTAATGCACGATATGTTTTAAAAAGGGGTTGTTAAGATTTGAAATTTTGATTTGTAGATATTATTTTATCTGAAACTATATATTAATTAGTCTAATATGATCATATAAAGAAAATGAATGTTAAACATGTGATGAGCTGGCATATGCCATTTTTAATTCCCTGCGTGATTTTTATGATTGCATTATATTAAGCTTTGAGTTTGAATTCACCAATTAACTTTAAAGGGTGATTAGCTGCATGTCTTTAATTGATTCATTTTGTGATTTTAAAATAATAGCATTGCTTGTAAATAACGTTTCCTGTTTCCAAATATTAAAGATTGGTTTTTTTCGTTAAATAACTTCCTTGAAATAATTTTTAGATATTTTTAATTTTTGATCTGAAAGAAAATTATTTCTTCATCAAAAAGAAAATGATTTTCCTATTTAAAAGAGAAAACATTTTTTTAAAAAATACACATTTATATTAATTCTTTTTTTAGAAAAAATCAAACTAGAAATTTTATTAAGATAAAATTGTATATAGATATGATCCAGATCAATTTATTTTTATATTTTTGTATAGAAATTCTAATAATAAACCACATAATCTTCATTTGAAGTATCTAATCGAATTGACTGAGCATAATATTTGTGCTACAGGCGATCGCTTGCTCCATTTGGTGGTTAATCATGGTCACTCTTCGACTCCATGGTCTTTTTACAAATGCGATCTAATGACCTTCAAATTTCTTCCTTCTATTAAAAGGGAGATCTGTACTTTTTGCATAATTGTCCAAATAACAAAATACCCTAGATAAAATTATCATAATGTTGACAACAATAACTCAGAACTAAATTCTGAAAATAAAATCACAATATATGGGCACAATAGTTCGGCAATAAACGAGATAAAATTTATAAATACATATAAAGTTAAATTGTATGTAATTTTTGCATTATTTTATTTTATTATATTAAACACTTTTATTAATTATAAAATAACTACTTAAAAATCTTCTATTATAACATTAGCAGTAAAATCATCTATGATTGAATTAATCATTTAATTTTTTTTTAACTCAAACTTATATAAATGAATTTTGTTTTATTATAATTGATGAACATAGTAATTTATTTATCTTTTTTTTATGAAAATAATTTAGTAAGATTCTAGAAAATCCTAATTGATTCTGGATCCAACCCATTCGGTCCTGTTTCATAGACCTGAACTCTTGCATTCCCTCTCAAAAAAAATGGGATGAGATGGGGTGGGATTGAGACTCTATTTTTTACATTCCGATCTTTTGGGATGAAACTCGGAATTAATGAATTTACGTCCCAACCTGACCATGCACACCCCTAGTCACCACCAATGAAAAAAGAAAAAATAAAATTTTTAGGTTATGAGAAAAAGAGAGACAACTTATTAGGGTTTAATATTTCCAATTTTTTATTAATTCATTGATCATTAATAATTACTATTATTGATCACAGCAAAGTACCATCGATGGCCGATAACTATTACCACTCACCAGCCACCACCACAGTCACTAATACTTACTATTATTTGACATTTTTATGTCTTTTTTTTATACTTAACAGTAAAATTTTAAAATATGCAAATTCTTTAATTATATATATTTTTAAAAATTATAAAGTAAGTTGTTGGTAAAACACTTTTTTAAAAAATAATTTTTAAAATGTATTATTTTCTGGAAACAAATACAACTAATAAAGGTTGCTTTTTATTTAAGGCTTTACTTTCAGCATTTTAAGTTACTGATATTGTGCATTATTATTTAATACAAGTTTAATTGCTTCATAAGAGTAAGACAAGGTTGGCTTAATATTTTTTTGGCTCCAACTAAAAAAATGAACCTATAAGAACTGTGACTAAGCCCCAAGTTGAATTAGGCGGTTCTGTTAATAGGCTTTGGATACCGGTGATTTATATGAAAATAAAAATATATATATGTTTTACTCTTTTTATAAAATTTAGTATCATTAAGTGGTGTTTTTTATATCCATAGCTATAATTTATTTTAAAACTTTTAATTCCGAAAATAAATCTAAACCATCATGTCTTAAATACTTACTGAATTTAGTTTCTATTAACTAATTTAAAAAAAATAATTGGGATTTTAGGAAGAAATTAAAGAAAATTGAATGTAGAATGAGAGAGAGAGAAAGAATTATAAAATTAGGGGGATTTTGTTTCAATTCAGATTTATAATAAATCCAGACTTTTAGTCGAGCCCATTGGTTGACTAACTGAACCGATCGGATTTGAACATAAACAGATCAAAGTCAGGCGGATTTAGCTCTGATTCAAACAGATTTTTTTTAGTTGGTAAAATATATATTTGTAAAATGCTTTTGGTAAGTATTAACCCGTAACCTAACATTAAATTACCAAAATATTAACCATGAAGCCATATATATTGTTATGTTAAATCTCGTACATAAATTATTTTTTTTCAATATAATACAATGGTTACATTTTCTCTCAAATATTATATTATTTCTTTATTTAAAATTTTATGTTGGTAATAAAAATTATAATTATAATTTATTTAATAAATTTCTTTTTTTATTATAGAATTTTATTTTCTCAGACTAAATACTTTGCTCTTAAAATTATTTAATCCAATAGTACTCTTATTTATCTTTATAATTTTTAAATATATTAAATATGAAATTTATTGAAAATAACTCCAATATTATTAGCAGAGAATTATTATTATTATTATTATTCAAAATTTTTAAATATAATTTTATATAAAATATTATAACATATATAATATTCATTTACAATTGTTGGGTAAAACTATTATTTTTTGAAATTTAATTAATTACAATTTTTTATTTTTTATTTTAATTCAAACATGATTTTTACTAAAAATTATTAATTTAAAATTATTTGATATAACATTTAATATATATTTAATCAAATACCGGTTGATTATTTAATTCTTAACTCTGTGTATGTGTCGGTACAAATGTTCAAAGTATGAAAAGTTTTTAAAAAGGATTTTTACGGTTGAAAATTTTAGTTTGAGATACGTATTATAAAATAATAGCATTGCTGGTTAAGAATGTTGAATTAGTTAAGCTATCAATTTCTACAAGTCAATGAATGTAATTAGATTATTAGATCAACAAATCATTTTTCAAATATCTGTCTCTAGCAATTGAAACTATAAGGGAAAATGATTATGAAATAATGTTTATAATATTAGATGATTATGAATGTAATTAATTGATTAAATTTATCATATGCCATTCGATAATCAAGTCAAGGTTCTCATTTGACTTCTTGAAAAAGGCTTTAAATCGTGAGATTCTATTTGCTGAGATCTGGGTAATCTTTGGATTTTTACTCATTATATTTATTCATTGTACAAGTGATGATACAACGGGTTTTTACTCAAGGAATCTTTGGACTGCCCTGCCAACGGGAGATCTGCTTGTCTTGTGGCCCTAACTGGAACAGAAAAGTCAGTTAAAAGAAAGGATGCCGGTTAATAGTTTAGCCTATACAGAACAGAGATTGGTAAAAGAAAGGATGCCGGTTGATAGTTTAGCTTATCGTGATTGATTCAAATAATATTAGACTCTGAAATGTATTATTTAGTTAATTTATAATAATTAATATTTCGTGAAATATCCATATGAAGTATTATTAATTTAATTATCTGGTAACTCGATTTTTTTTTTTTTTTTTTTTTAGGTCCGTAAGCCTATACAGACATGAGATTGGTAAAAAGGAATCAGGGATTGGCGCGGTTTGATAGTGTATTAGACTTATCTGATTGATTGCCAAATTAATATTGACGATCTTGAAATGTATTATTTTAGTTTAATTCGATAGAGTAATTAAGTGATTTCGAATGAAATATCTCATAGATGAAGTATTATTAATTAATTATCTGGATAACTCCGCATTTTTTTTTTTTTTTTTGCTAGTTATTAAGGAGGGAAGATTCTACTTAGATTGTGTAGGGTCTTTACACAGTGTACATTACCAGTTATAGCGATTTATGCTTTAATTGTGCCCGGTAACTCCAATTTGATTTTTTTTTTTTTTTTTTTGAGTATTAAGGAGGGAGATTCGTACTTAGGATTATTGTCAGGTTACACATGTACATACCATTAAATTATGCTTTAATGTGCGGTAACTCAATTTAAAGTTGAGCTATATTTTTTGTTTAGTAACCATAATAGTAATAAATAAATGAAAAAAATAAACAGTGATGAACACTTACGTTACTAAAAAATGAGTATGTCTTTGTGACATAATTCAAGTACGGTAAGAACAACATATGGGAAAGTGAACTATTTAATTGCACACCAAAATATAATATAGTATTAAGTGCATTTATGATCTGACAATAAATTTAAGTTTGAATTTCCATCTCAATACTAAAAAAAAAAAAAACAATCTTAAGTAAAGATAAGATTAAGTCTTACTCTTGTGTTTTATTTTATTTTTCGCTTATTCAATTCACTATAGCTTATTTTTTGTTAACCATATAAATTAATTAAGGAAAAATTATAATTTTATTTCTATCCCAATACTCAAAAAAAAAAAAAAATCAAATAAAGATAATTAAGATTAAGCCTTACTCTTGTGTTTTATTTTGTTTGTCTCTTATTCAATTCTATAGTTGATTTTTTGTAAACCATATAATTAATTAAGGAAATTTTATAATTTTGTTTCTATATTTTATCAAAAAATAATTCTTTAGCTTTAAATTTTCAGAAACTTACTATTTTACCCTTGTATGTTGCTGTATTAGTTTGTCCTTTCATCAATTTTGTTTAACTTTATTAAGTCAAAAAAAAAAATTTTTGTTTACCTTTATCATTAAAACCTAAAAAAAAAAAAAGATAAAAATACCCATTGTTATTTTAAACCCAAATTGAGTTTCAATACCGCCATTTCTAAGTTACCGATGGCAACAAAGAGGAAGGAAGATGGAGATTTCATAGAGATAAAGCCATAGTCATGGCCAGGAGATCCTTCAAGTTGGAAGACCCTTCTGGGTTCTCTCTCTATCTTTTTATTTTTCGTAGTTGTGTCAAAATATCTCTATTTCTATTTACAATTATCTCTCATTATTTTTTGATTTCATTTGTATTTAATGTTGGATCGTATGATCTGAGTTAATTTGTTATTTTTGATAAAAATTGTTTTTTTTTAGAAATCTCCATCGAAGCGCTTCACTCTTTACTCTTACGAGTATGATGCAGCCCGGATAAAAATAGGTTCGGTCTAATAGGCGGAGGACATTTGTGGTATAAATTAAAAATAATATTACTTTTTTAGATCAATAGCATGTAGTATTATAGTTTTGTCACTGTTTTAGTACGAATTGTGTTTTGATATTCTAGTTAAAGAAAATACTAACAGAGTTGACTTTGATGGGTCTCTGCCTCTGTTAGCAAGAAAGAAGCGTTTTTAAAGTTTTTTTTTTTTTTTTTTTTAGAAAACCCAAGTTTTTAAAGTTTTTTTTTTTGTTTTTTTTTTTTATAATATTCATTTGCCCTTTGGTTTTTTTTTTTTTTTTTTTTAATATTCATTTGTTGGGTGCTTTAATTACTATTTTCAAATTTATGATTATAACATTGAGTAAAATATATTTTAATTTTGCCATCCATAATTGAGTAACATTATTTTTTATTCCCCTAATTATTTGGGTTGGGTCCGCTAATAGTTTGTCTTAAATTTAAATGAATGTATGAAAGACCTTTTGATTCGGATTTAACTTTTTTTTAATAAAATAATTTTTTTCTGAATTTGAAAATAATAAAAATTAATGCATTTTGCGGGAAAAAAAAGAGTCAAAACTGGTTCATAATTATGTAACATCCCGAAATGGTTTTTTTTTTTTTTCATTTGTTTGAAATCTAAAAGATTATTTTCCCAAAATTTTAAAAAAGAAAATATAGCATTTGCCTAAACATAATTAGATGTGAGCAAATGACATATTCATAATTTTGCAAAGCAGCCAAATGTAATACTAATTTATTATTTTATAGCAGGTCACCTAACATGCTATTAACTAAAACACCACAATTAATTAAATTGTTGGTGAAATCATAGTTATACAATAATAATAATAATAATTTGTTGGAATCCGTCTTCTAAAAACCAAACGATCACAACAAAACATTCTAATATTACAAAATATAAAAAATAAAAAATTAGAGAAGCAAACTAACTTGGGATAATTGATTAAAAAAATTATAACAAAACACTCTAATATTACAAAATATAAAAAATAAAAAATTACAGGAAACAAACTAACGTGGGAGAATTGATTTCTTTTAATAGAAAAATTTCAGTGTATGAAAGGCACTATTTTCTTGAGTCCGAATTCAATAGCCTGGAGATATATGCGGGTGATTAATGCAAAAAAGATGTTATTTATTTATTTATTTTCACATTTATAACTAAATTCATATAAATGAGGAAAAATTATGTTTTCTTTTATTAACTGGCTCACTAGCCAAGGTTTATTAGACAACTAAACAAAGCAACAAACATTTTATTTTTAGTAAAAACAACACACAAATTAACTACTTAAACATTAAAAAAAATATCAATAATGAGAAACATAAACATCATATTCCACGACAGCAGTTAGGGTTTTAGGGTCAAAGACATGTGTTCTTGCTTGAGCATAACCACGAGCGAAGCGGAAAACCCTACTTCCACCAACGATAGGCATCTCTCTTACACCGGAAAGAATAGCGTTATGGCCTAAAAGACTAAGTGTGCTCCCATTATATTTTCCTTCCAAGAATACAAAATTGAAAATCATTAAAAATCCTATCTCACTTTGTGAAGCTGAAGCATATATCCCTTGTGCTTTTCCTACAAGCTTTGAATTGATATCAGGCTCCATTGTCTGTGGATCATCCGCCATGAACACCCCCCCGAAATCTATTGATGAGTTAACGGCTGCTTTAGTGATCAGAATTGCGGTAGGATTTTTGCTTTTGATTATGTCGTGAAAATAGAAGTGGAGGTGGGTGAATTTCTCTTTTTTTAAGCCTAGTGTCTCTTGTGATAAATTTCTCGAAAAGCTATGAGCTTTTATGGTGGTGAGGGTTAAGAGAAGTATAAATATGTTGGAAATTAGAAAATTTTGGGTTTTGGCCATGGTGAGAAATTTTAGAGGATGAAAGAAAGATGTGGAAGGTCTTAATTAATGGATTGTCTTCTTAATAACTATATGCGTGTATATATAGTTGAATGTATCACTAAATTTTTTTTTTTTTTTAATTTTGGATGTAGGGTCTTGTCTATGTGATATAATTTGTATTGTGTTGAAAATACCTACGTGTGAACAATATAAAAATATGAATTACTATTTGGTCCCTGAATTATAGCAACTCAGCATATTTATTTTTAAAAAATAATTTAATAGTCCCATTATTTTACTATATATAAAGACTAAATAGTAACTTGCATTAAGTAATGAAATTTTAAACCTATATATTTAGTGAAAATTTTAATAAAATAAGGTATAATTATTTGATGAAGTTAAAATAGAAGGAATATTGAATTAATTTTTGAAAACATACAACATATAATAATATTGGAATATAATAATAAGGTCAGAAGTTGTCTGTACCTTAGTACGAACGTTCTTAAAAATGATTTTTAAGATTTAAAAAATTTTAGTCAGAGACAAATATTTTAAAATAATAGCATTGGTTGTTAAGAACGCTGGACCCGTTATTGACAGTGATTTTTCGCAAGTGTACGAATTCGCTGTAAGTAATATAGAGTGAGTAGAATATCGTATCCACAGGGATTGTATACCAAGTACCAAAATTATATTATCCTATTATTATTTAAACGATAGATGAGGAAATTGTTTATAAAAATTAAATTCAACAAGTAATTTTAAATAAACAATCAAAGCGCTATACAATATGTATTTGATGAAGTTAAAATAGACAGGAATAGTCTGATCAACCTTTCGTATTAAAGTTTAGAAAACATACAATACAGCTGTTATTACTAAATAAATTATTGTGCAACTTATAATTAATAAGGTTCAGAAAGTATAGTCGTGCTACCTGTAAGTTTATCGAACGTTTACTTAAAAGTTGTTGATTTTTAAGATTTGAAAAAGATCTTAGTCAGAGACACAAATATTTTAATAATTTTAATATCCAATTGGTTTGTTAAGAACGCTGGACCGTTATTGACTAGTTATTTTTCGCAAAGTGTACGAATTCGCTTAAAGGTGAATTGGGTATAGAGTGAGTAGAATATCGTATCCCCACAGGATTGCCTATACCAGGTCATAGTTACTTCAAAATTTATATTATCCTATTATTGATTGCTTATTAAACGATAGATTGGAGGAAATTGTTTAATAAAAATTTAAAATTCAACAAGTAAAAAAATAAGGAAGTTAAGCAAGCAATTATTGATTAAAGAAATCAAGGAATTTGAAACTACTAGGGGTTTTTTTTGGGGATTCACTTAATTTCTATCCAATTTTTTTCATTAGTTCATTAATCAAATTTAATTAGTGTCTCAGAGTAGCGAAAGGGGATAATGACAAACCCAAAAATCACTAACAAGCTTCTTCCTGAATGTATTGTTAGCTATTTTAACTCGTCTAATTACCCTATCTTCCAAACAGCGCAATACAAACATGAATTTTAAGATCTATTTCTTAAAGTGTATTGGTTGTTCTGGTTAGCTTCATACTACTACTCCTTTCTACGCAAAAGTCCAGGTACTATTAAAACCCCCCATGAGATCAAACCGTGATAATCTTCCTCTATGCAAGTTATTCCTCCTCCTCTCCCTCTCTCCTCAAACTCTTTTTTGGCATGGATCAAAAGATTTCCTTCTTCCGTATAGTAGATAAATATCGCACAAGATAAATCGAAGTCTAGTGGGAAAATTTTGCTGCCATAGAAGTAGTTAAGTTCTATAAAAATCATAAGCTTGAATAAGGATATCTATTACAATAAATTGGAAAAGGATATTAAGACTACATCAAAGTCTCACACATAAGAGTTGTAAGAGATTTAGATATACACATAGTACTTAAAAACTCAACAAATACTTGATGTCATAGATAAATATTCCATAATCAATAAGGATAATTGGAAAGAAAATAAACAAGATTAAGAATTTAAGAAAATAAGAACCGATCAATCGATTAGGTAATTCAATTTTTCGATCGCCAGATGGCGTTCCCTTGAATCTTATGGGTCCACAGAGCTCTTGAATTACATTGACAATTTTTTGTAACCAAGAGGGTAAATATGTACGAAGAATCAAATATGTATATGACTGGAGTATTGATCCCTTACAATGAATTCCTTCCTCTCCTTAATATAGACTTCATTAATGAGAGAGAAATCCCAGCATTCTTTAGAGAATAGATTCTCCTGTGATATATGAATGGAATAAGGATCTCTACCTGTAAGGAAAATAATAAATATTCTCCTTGTTTATTAATAAAATGACTCAAGCTATATACTCCTCTCGCTGTATTAAGGGAAATAAAAATATCTCCATTAGAGACATCTTTAAAATTCTTCTCTCAATCACGGTCGAAAACAAACGACATATAGGGCGTGCTAGTGAGTCTGTGGTCTTCACTTGATTTTTCGCTTAAATCCTAGCTGACGCGTGGGGTGCAAGTAATTAGCACCGGAGGGCAAGGCAGTTTTTGAGAGTGATTGTGCTCTCTCTTTATTTGTTTACTCTTCTCATGATGCCAACCCTACAAATTTCTCTAAGATTAAGTGCATTACTATTCTGAGTTCAAGAAGCTATTGAAACTCAAAAACATAAATTCAAAAATTTCTAATTAAAGCTAATTAAAAATACTAACATTAGTGCCTAATAAACAAAAACATAAATAAAAATTAATTAAAGTAATTAAAAATACTACAAATCCTAATAAAAACTATATTAAAAATATTATAAAAATAACACCTATCAGTTATGCTATCAATTTCTATTAGTCAATGAATGTAATTAGATGATTAGTTCAACATATCGTTTTGTCAAATATCTGTATTACAAAAAATTATTATTGCTAGTGTAGAAGATGTGCAATTTTATCAAAATTCAAAACTATAGAGATACAACGATCTTAGGCTAACTTCGAAATGTTACAATTTCTTTTTGGTAAAGTATAAGATTATATTTATGCATTTAGCCATGATTAAGTTCTTCAATATTTAATCATAACCTTAAGTTTATTAATTTACATTTCATCCATATTTCCAATTTTTGTTTTGATTTTGGCACCCAAATATTAGTCCCTACATTCCTCGGAATAATAATAAAATATTTCAAGATGAGTTCTAATCCAGTGGCACGTCTGTGAGTATACTTCTTTTTTAGTATTAAAAAAAGAGATTCGAATCTAGATCTATTGTTGGATCATATATGCACTTACCATTAAGTTATGCCTTAGTGTACATGTTTGTGAGTATAGTTAAACTTTGATGTAATACAAGTTCACTTGTATTCCAACAATAGAATATAACCTAGTTTTATAGTTTGATGTGTTTAGTTGAGATTAGGTATAACTCCCTAATTGATCAATCATATCTATTTCCGTTATCAATATATTATAGAACTAGTCATAAACCCGCACAGACAAATATATTATAGAACTAGTCATAAACCCGCACTTTGTCTGTGGCTATGTATATAATTTGTAAATTTAAAAAATTTAGATAAACTTTATTTTAAAATAAAAATGAGAAATAAAACCATTAATACAATTTATTGACTAAAAAAATATAAAAATTGAGCAAATAATTTTTTTTCCTACCTCAAACGTGTTTTTCTTATATATAAGTTATAAAAGCATCATGCGCCCTAATTATTGTTTTGAAAAAATAAGAATAAGAGCTGAAAAATATAAAAATTCAAATTTAAGCTATAGATGTAGATAATATAAATTTTTACAAGCAATACAGTAATTTTTAAAAGAAAATTATTATATATAATTTTTAATATTTAGATAATAAAATTAAATTTTAAATGTTAAGATCTAAAACTTTAAATATAATTTATTAGGTATTTGAATTCTTAATATATTAAATTTTATTTTATTATTTAAATTAAATAAAAATAAATTTTAGAATTTTTCTTTCAAAAAAATAAATCTTCAAGTTTTTTTTTTTTTTCTCATGCTTCCAGCCCTTTGTTGTGCATGCTCAAGTTGCTGGCTGCACAACACCTTCACATGGTTAAATATACACATGAGAATAGCATTATCATCAATTCCTAGAAAAGCCATAGCGTAGAGCTCTTCCTCTGCCATGTGCACGTTCTCTCTGCCATGTGCAAACTTTGGATACCTTGAAACAATTTAATTTTTATCTTCCACTCAATGAAACCATGTGCACACCTTGTTTTTTGTTGTGCAAGCTTTGCATGCCTTAAACAATGCAACTTTTGTTTTCCACTGACGAAACTGAAATGATCCGAAAATTTAATTTCGTAGAATTTTCATTTAAAAATTAAATTTTTTTATTTCAACCAATGAAATTATACCAGCTAGTATTTTATTATTGCTAAACTGGACCCGTAAACCAATTCGAAAACTCGAAAACCAAGCATCCTCAATCCCTCTCCCTTGCTCCTTCTCGTTCCTTCTTCTTCCTTCTTCCTTTCCTCCCGCTTCCCCCTTCTTCCTTCTCCCTTCCCCCCTTATCTCCCTCTCTTCCCCCTTCCCCGTCTTTTTCCCCTGCTTCCACTCCTCCCCTCTCTCCTTTCTCTCTTCCCTCCTCCCTACTTTTCCTTCCAGACCTTCCTCTCTCATTCCCCTTATTTTCTTCCTGCCTCCTCTTCTCCTCCCTCTTCCTTCTTTTCCCTCCTTCCCTCCTCCTTTCCCTCCTTCAGCTTGTTTTTTTTTGTTTGTGCAAGCTTTGCATTGCCTTAAACAATGCAACTTTTGTTTCCCTCATCTGAAACGAAAACTGAAATGATCGAAAATTTAAATTTCGTAGTAATTTTTCATTTAAAAATTAAGTTTTTTATTTCAACCAATGAATTATTTTATACCATCTAGTATTTTTTATTATTGCTTAAACTGTGGACCCGTAAAACAATTCGAAAACTTATTTTTTTGATCGAAAATCCAAGCAAGTCGAGCCGAATCAA